TCACTCTGTTCTGACTTTCATCTGGGCATGGGATGTGCACATTTCTCTATCAAAGAGCAGCTGTAGAGATGATTTAGTAATGGTATTCAGTCACACTGCTGAGTTTAATATTCCTCACCGTTACCTCGGCAGTCTCGTCACCGGACTCTCGGAGCGCCTGCCTGTCACATTGCCTTTGAAGTACGAGCCCAGCCCTGCCCTATGCTCAATAAGCAGTTGTCCCTGATAGTGGTGATCCCAGTCGTGTTATGGTCACGGCCTGGTCTTACCATCCCACTGCTGCTTGACAAGCTCATTAGTCTAAAAGGCCGGGCAGCCCCCACAGATGGCTATCATCACATAAAGAGGTTATCAAAGAAATCTATGGGGTTGTCATAGCCTTGACATCTTCCTGGCTTTCTAGGAACAAAAAAGGTATAATATGATGTCTCTGCTAAAGAAGTTTTATTTGTGGTCGTGTTTGTTTGTTAGAAACAGAAGTGGGATATCTCAAAAACAGGGGTCCCCTGGTGGCCTAGGTGTGAAAGTGCAGAGTTGACCATGACTTTGGAAATCTATCTTTCCTTCAGATTTCAATTAAATGTGATGGAAATTTAGGCTTTGAACCGAGGAATAACTTAGATTTTGATGTGGATCTGGAGCAGTAGTGTTACCATATATGGTCATTACACAGTATGAGGAAATTATGAGGTGTAGACTCTAGCCCGACCAAAGGTGGACATTTATGTCCATTACCTATATCAATATTTTGGAGTTGAAAAATCTGATAATGATATGTTGTCCAATTTTGTTTTAATGTAAACACGCGTTTAACTCCTATAACATTGTTGGACTGATAACTGACAGTTCAAATATCAAATATCACAATCGATGCAGCAGAACCAGAGATATCATCGTTTTTATTCCACACTTTCAAATTCAAATTCAAATTAACTTTATTTGCATGAATGTGTAACAATAATATAGCAAAGCATCATACAAACTACATAAGAACAATCAACCCCATACATTTCATTTAACAAGTAAGTGCAAGTGTGTGTGTTAAATTTTTTTTAAATATATTAAAAATTTAAATAAAATAAATAAATAAAACAGTAAGTGTGTGTGTTAAAAAATTAAAATATATTAAAAATTAAAATAAAATAAATGAATACAACAGTAAGCGTGTTTGTGTGTTAAAAAATAAAAATATATTAAAAATAAAATAAATAAATTAAACAGTAAGCGCGCGCATGTGTGTGAAAAAAAAGATTTTATTTTAACTTTCTTTTTCCTTGTCAAAACTGATGCCAATACGACCACCAACATTTCAGTCGGCGATTTGGGTGCGTTATGCTGGTAGCAGCTAATGTCACCTCGAGCCAGTAGTTTCAAACAAAGATCAGGAACTGGCTACAGAGTTCTGGTAGGCTCACTTCTTTGTCCACACCTCGAGATTAATTGTTACTTTTTACTTTTTACTTTCTTTGTAGTTTTCACCACCAACCAACGCAGACTCAAGTGACATCACTTGAGGCAGTTTATCATTTCACACAGCTCCCTTTGGATCCATAAAAAGCTAATTTTCACATATGTGATATTTCACAAATTGTGTGAATAGACTTGATGTATTTAACATAATAATTATAAATAATAAGGATCCTTTAAATTAGTTTATTTTTTAATATATGTACTGAATGGGACATTTTACAGCTGATAAATTAATGGTTCAGGGAACAAACTATGTAATGGAGATCTTAAATGATCTTCAATGATCAGACATATATCTTTGGTATTTCTGCACTGCAATTTCTTGTTACCTGTTTCCCCTAATGTACAGTATATATCAATATATCTGTGACAAAGCAACATTAGCTAATATATATAGGTTTAGCTCAAGCATAGCCTCAAAATTCTTCTTTCCTGAATTTCTTGGTTACATTTTATTTTTTATTTTTAACACAACCCCCTTAGTTTTTGTTCTTGTCCTTCTGGAAAAGATTTTCAGTTATGAGTTTGACTTAAATCTAAGCCTGGTATTTGAGTCATTTTTGTACATGTTTCACTTCAGACAGTGGGTCAATTCAAAGCTTAATTGTTGAGTACAGATTGATGAATAAAGTTCATAATTGAAAGAAAAATGTTTGTCCCCTGTCCTGCTGTGCCCTGAAGACAACAGCTGCTGACAATTGTTGGCTGTCCTCTGCTTGTAATAATAACCGTGGATGACAGACCCATTCCCCAGTGAATTTGTGTCACTGCCAGAGCATCCATCCGTCCATCCATTAGTGAGCCTGTCACCATTACCTACAGCACACTGACATGTGTCACCGCCTAATCCGTCTTGCGTAGTCGAACACAGTCATTCTGGTAATTAGTCAAGTCAATTTTGGGAGTGTACCGATTAGTTTTTACATGGCTTTCACACTCCTGATTGTGAAATGCTGCCATGTTAAATTAATTGCTGTCTTTCTTTGTATATTTTGCTTGTCCCCACGGTCACAGTTCCTTCTGTAGAGAATGAACGTGGAGAAGGTTTTTTTTTTGTTCCAGGCCATTCTTCGTGATTTTGTGAACATATCTTAAAGCTATTACAGCTGACTTATTCTTATAACTTCTTCTTATAACTATAAAGTCTCACAGAAACAGTTCAGCATAACTCAGTATCAGGGGTTGTGTGTGTAACGACTCAATTAAAACATATAAAAACAGTAGTAACAACCTTTACAGTCTGTCGATCGAGTGCACTGGATTTCAGTTTACATTTGAGAACCTGCAGGCAAATTTGTTCCCTTGGACCAAGGATATTTTGAATATCAAACAACTTATAGAGAAATACTTTACAGCCTCGGTCTGTTGTGTCATTCATTGTTTGCACTATGGTTTGCACCACGAGAGTGCACCTGCTTCTATTAAACATCCTCATTTTGCTCGGCTGGTATAAAACAATGCAGAAAAAGAATGCAGACAAATACAATTTAGTTGTTTAGCAGTAGGAGGCAGACAGTGTATATTAAATCACCCTTTTTTTGTGAATGGAACTCAAAATGTACAATTTTTTGAGACTGACTGCTGATTTTTATTCTTTCTCATATGCCTGTGTAGTGATCTTGATTTATGTTCAAGTTTCCAGATTTGGTCCACCCCCTTGCTGTAAACAACCACTGTACAGCCAAAGAATCCATTTGTCCAATCTGCATTTCATATTTAATTCAATGCTGTTTGCATGGATAACTTCTGACTGGAGCTTAATGCAGTGTTTAATACAGCTGGACAATGACGAGGGAAGACGGCCTCTTTTTCATTATCTCCTCTCTCTTCTCAAGCCTCAGGCAAGGCAAGATTGTTATGCTGACCATTCACTTAGTCTTGGTCTGAATGCTGTCTAGTCAAAAGCAAAAGCTTCCTCATGACTTAAATGAGGCCCCACACTGTCGCGTCTCTAGCCTCCGTGGAGTCATTGGACTCCAGATTATTCCAAACACACAGTCTAAAATCGGCCAGTCCAGCTACTGTGCATCTGTCAGCTGTTTTCTTATGTCAATCTCTCAGATTATAAAACTTGCAGAAATGCAGTTATAGAAAACAACACCGCAATTCTTCCCGTTATGTGAATCAGTTAGCTCTTTCTCTGAGCGTGATGCCAACTGTGACACACGGGTGTTGAGTGTCAGGTTAATTGGGATGAACTGTTAATTGATTAGTGCGGTATAGAAGCCTTTGACTTTGCTTTTTATCGACTTGAATGCATTAGTCTGAGGAGACAGTCATAGAGAGAAAAGACAAGAAGGAAGGAATTTAGCAGAGTTTATATTTATATTTTATATATTTAGGCATTTCAATTGTATGTCATCAAGATGTACAAGAATATGTTTATTATTGCTAGTGTTGTTATTATTGTTAGTATAAGTTTACAGTAGTACCAGGGCCATAACTACCATTGAGGACCAACAGTATAGCGATCAACTAGGTCATGTCTTCAGCATTGGACGGATTATGATACAGTGGGGCCCTGGGCAAAGAAATGTAAAACGCCCCCTTTCTATCTAACAGCAAGTCACCCCCAGACAGGGCAGTGTTGCTTGTCATGATTTTCTATCATTTTAGTGGCACTTTGCAGGTTAACCATAATTTTAAGCAAAATGTTTATGTTTCTCAAAAACAGAACTTTAAAAGTAAAGGCACTGCTGTTGGTAGAAAACTACCTGAACATCAGTGTTTTATTCATGCTGTAGATAAAGAGAGGCTGTCTAAAGCCTTCCCAAAGGTTTTCGACACAGCAGATGTTATTATACTGAAGCGATGGGACACCTAATTTCTGATTTGATTGGTTTCACTGAAGTATTTGCAGATACTTCAATTACTCAGGAGCAAAAATAAAATACAATCGAGACTAGTGGTCTTTTTGCACCCTGAAGAAAATACATCTCTGGGGACATAATCAATAGATGGATTTAGTTTCTGTTATAAAAACATAAAAGAAAACATCCGCCCTGCCTGTGATTTCCTGTCTATGTACAATATCACACTCAGTCGTCTGAAATAAATCAGAGATCACTGAAGCATGAGCGACCCCTCTCCATCTCAGCTCTGCTTCTTTTCTCTCATCTGTTCCTCTGTGGTGTTATGCAGCTCTCAGCTATCGCTTTGCCCTTCTCGCTTATTTTCACCTCCCATGTGACTGATGCAGAGAACTGAACCAAATAGGGACTCAGCTCACTGGATCATTAGCCCAATCCTCTCTAACAGGCTGATTGTACTGGGATGATGTGGCTCTTGTTGCATTAATGCCCTCTGTGATGTTACAAAGCTACAGCAGATACCGCTGAACCTCTGCCTATAAAAGACATGCTGGGTTAATTGATTTAAGTCACTTATTCTGTAGAAAGTTGCCTCTGAGAACATGCAGAACATTTAGCCTAAGCATAGCACTCACATGTTTGGAGGAATATAAAACACATTCAGAGCTCCTCTGTGAATGTAATATTATATTTCCTAACCACATCTTTTCTCTCTTACAGGAGTCGACTTCAAAATGAAGACACTAGTAATAGATGGTATCAAAGTGCGGATACAGATATGGTAATGTTGTTACACAACAGTAGTTAGTAGAGAGGATATTATTCATTTGCAAATATGCTATAGCTATCAATATTTGTGGTTTTATAATAGATCATGTTTAGGTCCCTGTATCGACCACTGAACACAGAGGTCTTGTTTGATTTTTTTCTGGGGACTTCTGAGGTTTAGCAACCTGTAAGGTTTAAGCTAATTTGATAATTGAGTTTGTGTCCTGTCATAAACCTGCAATTAATAGTGGCTTTTATAAACTGGAGCCATGATTTCCTAAACTTAGCCACACTGAGCTGATAATGCAGAAATACCGAATTTTAAAAACCTAATTTTTAGTCTAGTGGCTCTCTGACTCTGTTCTTAGCACAGGGGTGATTTGAGCTAAATGCTAACATGCTCAGACTGACTATGCTAACATATTGATGTTTAGAAGGAAAGATTTACCATGTTCACCAACTTAGTTTAGCCTGTTAGCATGCTAATATTAGCTAATTAGCACTAATCACAAAGTACAGCTGAGGCTAATGGGAAAGTCATTAGTTTTGGTTATATTAATCAAAGTAGCCTATTGTATGTAAGTATGTACTGGACACATCTAAAAATTTACCTTATGTCGGTGCTAGATCAAAATTAAGGGGACTATCAAAGTAATGAGACTTTATTATTAGGCACCTTGAATATCTTTAACATATTTCACAGAAATCTATCCAGTAGTTGAAGAGATATTTCAGTTTGGACCAAAGTTGTGGACTGAAAATGCCTTCACCAAAGCCCTGCCACTAGCATGGCTAAACAACCCTCTTCAGCTTAATGCCGTTGTTCTTATTTCATCAAAAGTTGTAAAAAAAAAAAAAACACAATAGAAAAAGTTACGTTATATTTCACAGATACATAGTTTACATTGAACAGTGATCATCTAAATGACGAAACATTTAAAGATTCTGGACATGTGTCTATAAAATTCTGGTTACTGGCCTGGTCATATTGTCACATTACACTCTCACAAATGGATTTGTGTATCTTCTTATTCGTATATGCTTCTTGTCTTTCCAGGGACACTGCAGGCCAAGAGAGATATCAGACCATCACTAAGCAGTACTACAGACGAGCCCAGGTAGTTGACCTCAAGTCTCCCCCATTGACTCTGCTCCTGCAAGTGATTTCCCACACATTAGTGTAATATTATTACCACAGAGTAGCGTAACAAATTTAAATCAAATTCATTTTTGAAATTAAATTTGTTACAGCTATGAGAATAATTCATGCCTCATACTTGGCACCACTTCAGGTATCAGGATTTGATCTCACGCCAGTGGTATTTTAAATGTACTGTTTCTTATATTAAAAAGACTACATGTCCCTTTCCCTCCCAGAGGATGTTGCAAGTAGCCAAGGTCTTCACGGCCACACACAACCAGCACACTGACATTGTTGTGTATGAATTTTCCCTTTGCTTCGGGCTGCTAAAGAGGTTAAACTGGCTGAAATTGAATTGTTCATTTACCAGAAACTGGAAATGAAATTGGAAGAAAAGTAACCTGTTCCTGTGTAGTGCTACAAAGCCAGCCAGTGGCTTACAATGTCAAATGAATTGTTGGTAGAGGCTGCCAACTTTCTAAGTGGTGGTCTGGTTTGTTTACAGGAATCATATGAATGTTTCAAAATGTATTTTAAAATCCTGGATCAATTGATAATGTTTGTTTAAAAAAAAACATGACTCTAAAGTGCATTAAAATGTGCTGGATCTCATCTGTTTTTTAAATCTTTGGACATCTCTCTTCAGGGAATCTTCCTGGTGTATGATATCACGAGTGAGCGATCCTTCCAACACATCATGAAGTGGGCCAGTGACGTGGATGAGGTGAGTCACAGAGATTGGGGATTTGAGATCAACAGGCGTTATTTTTCACTTTGTAGAAAGGGCAACACTGACAAAACTACTTACTGTGCAGAGGCTTCAGGTTGACAATAAACAGATGCCAGACATGAAAAACCAAATGCTTTGGCCTGACAGATACTGCTTTGCTGTGTTTATCATGTTCCATCTTAATTTTCATATAACTTCATTATATTTTTAAATGTGAAGTCATAGATATTGGAAGGAGAACATTCTTTCCTTCTTATAGTCACATTTTTCAATCAGCCTGGAGTCTTCATGAAGCAATCTCGTCTGCCCTGCTTTCCCCTGTCATTCCCCAGATGATTTTATTCTATTAATTCATTATGGACCTAATTTCCTCTATGGGTCTGTCTGAATATATACTCTATTGATCTTGGCACGATTCCCATTTACTTTTAATTTAGGTCTCATTTCCACTCCTGTGTTTCTCCCCACTGCACTCTCTTGACATTTTAAATTTCTCTTTCTCTCCCTCTCTCTTTAATTTTGTTTTTAATTCATCTTCCTTATACGTACATATGTCTAATTTTTCACGTAAACCCCTGCAGTATGCTCCTGACAAGGTCCAGAAGATCCTCGTAGGGAACAAGTCAGATGATGTGGACAAGAGGCAGGTGGCTACAGAGCAAGGTATCAAGGTGGGTCAAGTGGTGGATTTCACAATGGATTATTAGACTTGAATGTTTTTTTGCCTCTGAGCTGTAACTCTATATATTCTAATAATTTCACATGAGAGTGGTATCAACCTTCTATCTTACTCTTGACAAGAACGCAATCCCAAAGGTTGAACTATTCCTTTACAGAGGTACCTACTCCAGGTTCCCCAATATGTTGAAATCATTGGATTAATTTTCAGCTCTGTAATAAAATCATGATTAGAGTTAAGCAAAATGTCATATCGCTTCTTGGATTTTTTTTCTATTTGAAACATTGGTTCCAAGTTCACCAAAACATAAAATTGGTGTAGTTTTAGTCAGGCATTTGTGTCTGGTCCATAAGCAAGCTCTAAAGGCCCTGACACATCAAGACTAATGCTTTGCCTCCTGTTGCCTCTACAGACTGTATAAAAGATGTGGACGTAGCCTTCAGGTCTGAAAAGTGCCTTTAAACTGCATTGTTTCTAATGGCCAGAAGGGGCGACTAAAATGGCTGCAGTCAGAATGCATAGAAATGCATAGAAATTAAAAAAATTACCCCACTTCTCACTCGATTTATTACCTCAATAAACACTTTGCTGATGAGTTTATGGTCTCACTCAGTAGTTGCAAGTCTTCTTCAATACAGCATGATGTTCATTTAGTAAATTATGGTCCCATTTAGAGGAAAATACACGATAAACCAGGGTATGCTGTAGGGTGTGGCTACATTGCCAACAAGTCTCTACCACAGTAAAGAAAGTGCAGAAATGTGTGTCCCACCCTTACCAGCTCAACCCTCTCGAACTTCCAGTTCCATAAAACCAAGGTGACTACGGCCAAAATGTCAAACTCGGGGCTTCAAAATGGTATTCCACAAACCAATGGGTGACGTCCACTTCTTTTATACAGTCTATGGTTACTTTGATTTTTCATTAAAAGCTGCTCTTGAAAACACAACTAAATCTGACAGCCAGCACCCCACATTGCACCTGTGTGAAAGCAAATAACTAGTCGTCAGTTGTCTGTGCTACTAATCCAAAAAACAATAAAACAGAAGTGTTTTTTTCAGCAAAGTAAAATATGTCTCTGTTATCTGTCTTGCAGCTAGCTAAGGCTTATGGAATGGACTTCTTTGAGACAAGTGCCTTCACCAACCATAATATAACAGAGGTGATGTGATCTGGATAGCCACTGCTCAGAATCTCTAGCCATGTACAGAGTAGTAACATGGAAGTGACTTGATAAATGACAGTGCATTTTTTATTTCTCTTGTCTTGTTCTTATCCTATGACTGTGCTTCCCTCCAAGACTTTCACACGACTGGCTGAACAGGTGCTGGCAGCCAATAAAAAGGACCTGGATCTCCTCCGGATGTCCATTAATGACGAGATTAATCTTGCTGCTCTGGAGGAAGAGGAAGGACTCTGTGACAGTACAGCGGGCGACCAAGGCAAAGGCTGCTGGTGTTAAAGAAATAACAGGAATTAAGTTGAATATGTTATCAGCAGACACTTTGCACACTCTGGGCAAAATGTGTCTCCTTTTGTCTTTAGTTGAAATAAAGAGGAACACTGAGCTGCTATTGTGAAACCAGCTATTTCCCTCTGTTTCACGGAGCAATGCCAGAAATGCTAATGAGCCGTTTGAGAGCAGTTTCAAGGACAAAGGTGGAAACATTTTGCCACAATGTGCCAAATGTGTTGTGAATTAACCAACTGAAGGTCCAAATGTCAGGCCTCCCTAATGGGACAGAATGCTTATTGTCTAAGCACTAATTCCTGCTCTGTTCAGTGTGTCTATGATGTAACCAATGCAATCCCTATCCACTACATATTCGGAAA